CGTGCCTTTGTTAGTATTCGTCGGTGAGGGCAACTCGGTTTATTATTTCTGTATAGCTTCGACTAAGGTTTAGTTAGTTAGACGTAGCTTAGTTTCTTATATATTCAATCCTAACTGGAGGCTTTCCTGTAAGCCCAAGACGGGCCAACTGGGAAATGCACTCTGAGTTAAATAAAAGGGTATTAGTTCTTGTTTGGACTTTTTTCTTGAAATTTTCAGAAGACCAGAGAATAACAGCTACACTCTTCTCAAGTTTCTTGTTGCTAAGAGCACTCAATTTGATTAAAATCCTGTAAATGGTCACTTTTTGTCTACAAAGCGATTTGCTAGCAGATAAGTAAATTAAAGTTGGTTTTGTGTGATGAAATAACACGGCACATGGAAATATACTTCGTCACTTATGAATTATTAGAAAATTTTGTCACATACCCTAATTATGAGTTTGATTTTTGCACAAATTTCTAGTTTTTACATCATAATGATCGAGATTTTGCACAGGTAAAATCGAGTGAATGTTTAAAATCCAGATTTCATGTTCTTCGCATATTACGAACTGAAATAAATTGGACAGAATAAGATGAGGCCTATTCTTATATTCTTTGATAAGAAATACCCGAAGTAGCTTCATACTTTGTAGGGTTTATATTTATTTTAACTAACATTTATTTTAAGTTTAAACTATCTTTCCTGTCAAGCCTTACTTTCCCTTGGAATTGCCAATGCCAGAGTATGTAAATTTTAATAGTAGAACGCGCAAAGTATTCAAAATAGTCAGTGGAAGTATTCTGAGTTAAATGAAGGGAAACGAGTTCGAAAGTGTGCTTTCTTGCTTCACGAGCGTGGAGGTGGCTAGTTAGAAATTGAAGAACCACGCGTTTCGGCCTGTGTGCTTGCCTCGGCAGATGTTAATCTTTCACAACGTAATATTCAGAAGTTTGCTGAATTATCAGCGGTATCTTAGAACGCGGTTAGGTTAGTTACGTTTAGAGAGCCTCGTAGTTAGTCACTTGTTATTATTCTTTTTTAGTTTCTTATTTTATTTTACCGCCGGGTCGGCGTAGTTTGTGAGCGTCAAGAGCACGCATTTTAATTTCTAAGTTGAATAAAAAGGGATTTAAACCCTTCTCAAGACTTTGTGTACTTTCCAGTTCATAGCAGTCACCACTATTGTTGCGTGCAGGTTGGAAGCGCGCAACGTTACATTGGCGCCCGAACACTTGTCGAACTGAAATGGCCGAAAATTGGATGGAAGTTTGCTGGACAACAAAGAGAACTGGCAAGCCAATTGGAAGGATTTGGATACCTGGTCCAGACGAATGAGAGCGTCAATCAAGCCAAACGTCAATTTCGACGGAAAAAATTCGGTGGCGATATTTTTAGAAGGCCTCGAATATCAAATCACTTCCAGCTCTACCCTGTGTCTGAAAGACAAAAAGTTGCCATGGCCACATCTGCACTAAGAGGACAGGCCTCGCTATGGTGGAAGAATATAGGCAAATTTTTATTAGGGGAATTCGGAGGCCAGACATATAAAAGCTTCATACTGTTATATGTCTGGCCACATATGTACATTTGAAAATTTCAAAAAATCGTTATTAAAGGCTTTCCCCATAGTGAAAGAACGAGCAAAGCTAGAAGCAGAACTGTATAGTTTTTATCAACGGAATATAGAAGAGTTGACGGACTTTATTCTGCGAAAAATTAAGCTGACGGATATGCTGTATGGGAAGAAACCCGACGCGGAGATTATTGAAATATTCTTACCAAGATTGCTACCTGCTGTTCAAGATTACTTCGAAATTAGAAACCCAAGCACATTGCAGGAGCTCTTCGAATTGGCGGTCAAGTTCCAAAATCGCAGAATAGCGGAAAAAGCTAGAGGGGCATCGTATTTTCAAAGTATCCGAAGGCAATCTTCAAATGAGCAGACCAGAAATGCAAACCGCTCTTATGGGGGAAAAGAGCATCAAGCTAACTCATCAAACCTCGAAGGTCAAGGCCCAAAAAGGAAATTTGAAAACAACCGTTCGCGTACCCAGAAGGCAGAAGTTGAAAGGAAAGCTTTTAAACGAGTAGAGGGGCCTGTGAAAGCGAGGGTCCAGACCCCGGAAGTTTTGAAAAAAACCCTCAGAAGACACTTAAATACGGTCATCGTAAAAAAAACTCACAATTACCAATTATACAAGTCTGGTTGGCGATGTACCAGTAGAAGCCCTCATCGATACAGGAGCAGAAGGTAATTTTATGAGTGATATTTTTTTTAAGAAGAATTTTAATAGGTTTACGATTATTTAAAAATAAAAACACAGAAATCATAGCGGCGCAAGGAACAAACTTGTCAATGTATGGAAAAATTATCTTTAAAAATTACAGATTCAAACGAAAGCCTTAAAGTATTAATTTTTGTAGTTAAAAAACTTGCGAAGTCCACTTATTTTAGGTATGGAGTTTTTAAAAGCCGCGAGAAGGCCAAACTGAATTTTCAGGAAAGTTCTATTGTGCTGGAGATGGATCGGAGGGTGGTGGAACCAGTGGAACAACCGCAAGTCGACCTTAGCCATTTGAATGACCATGAAAGTCAAGCCATCCAGCAAGTGGTGAGTACTTTTTCAAACTGTTTTCAGAACGGCCTGGTAGTTGTCAAATAGTTACGCATGAGATACAGTTAACTGCCGACAAACCCTGTAGGACTAAACCTTACGCTATGATAAACAAAAAGAGCCAAATCATAGAAGAACACATTCAGGAAATGTTAAAGAACAAATAATAACGCCCATAAATAGTGAGAGTACGCGAGTCCAGTCGTACTATGTAGAAAAGAACGAGTTTCCTCTTCGGATAAAAGGGCTTGGAGGTTTGCTATCGATTACAGAAAACTTAATAGTATTACTAAATTCCCAGTTTACCCTTTGCGGTATGGAGGAAATTATTGAAAGATACTGATACTTATTCCTTCCAGATGCTGGAAGGAAGAGAACAAGATTGATTGCTGAAGTCCAGGAAAGGTGCTGTAAGAAGAGAGGGTTAAATAAGTATCTACAGAATTTATTCTAACTTTGTGAGAAAAAACAGTTTTTTTATGTAAACGAGGCTCTTAAATTTTAGTTCAGACTTGTGGAAACTTTTCAACAGGTCGTTTCTAGGACCTGCTCCAAGTTGTACCAAATTCTGGCAGCGCAAATGTAGGGTTTATATTTATTTTAACTACATTTATTTTAAGTTTAAACTATCTTTCCTGTCAAGCCTACTTTCCCCTGGAATTGCCAGTGCCAGAGTATGTAAATTTTAGTAGAACGCGCAAAGTATTCAAAATAGTCAGCGGAAGTATTCTGAGTTAAATGAAAGGAAAACGAGTTCGAAAGTGTGCTTTCTTGCTTCACGAGCGTGGAGGTGGCTAGTTAGAAATTGAAGAACCACGCGTTTCGGCCTGTGTGCTTGCCTCGCAGATAGTTAAATCTTTCAACGTATATCAGAAGTTTGCTGAATTGTCAGCGGTTATCTTAGAACGCGGTTAGGTTAGTTACGTTTAGAGAGCCTCGTAGGTAGTCACTTGTTATTATTCATTTTAGTTCTTATTTTTATTTTACTGCGGGTCGGCGTGTAGTTGTGAGCGTCAAGAGCACGCTTTAATTTCTAAAGTGATAAAAAGGGATTTAAACCCTTCTCAAGACTTGGTTACTTTCCAGTTCATAGCAGTCACCACTATTGTTGCATGCAGGTTGGGAGCGCGCAACATTACAACTTACAGAAGGAACTGTTATTTTGCTGCGATGCTGTTGGCTGTCTTGTTTTCTGGTGTTTGGAAAATTGGTAGATCGTGGTTATTTGTAGTTGCTTAGTGATGCAGTGTCGATCTGAAATTTTGGGTTCATGGTGTTATTGTACTCATACCTGAATATTTTCCGATAGAGGTCCAGATTAAAATTCAGATAAAATTTATTCTAAGCTCCAGTAACCACATCACTGTTTCTTAAAACCAACTCTATTATACGAGGGCATTTCGAAAAGTAAAGATATAATGGCTCGCATTTCTTAAAAGAACATTTACTTAGAAAACGTCAGTTACATCTTATTAACTAGATTATTTGTTATTTTTCGACATAATTACCCCGTTATCCAAACATTTGTTAAGTCGGTGCACAAGCTTTTGTATCCCACAGTCATAGAAGGTTGCCGCCTTGGAACCCAGCGCGCAAACAATTTCATTACCCATACTTGACAGTCACAACGTCATAAGAGTTGTCATTGACACTTCCGGTTGATCTATGCATTTTTTCAATTGAACGTCTATCGCAGAATTGCTCCCTGCTATGAAAAGGGCATAAGAGATCCAGATGGGACCTGCGTGTTCGTCATGAACATCGGTTACTAACGTTCAGAAAACCCATTTTGTTACTTTGACGATTCATAATTTCACATAAAAGAATAATTTCTTGTAATAATTTGTCAGCTGCGCTGACCTTTTGCATGAAGAACGGGAGGGAGCCACTTCGCTTTATGGATTCTGAATAGGCGCAGCCATTTTAAACACGACCTACTCCAACCAATCAACGTTGAAATACCGAACGACCGCGAGGAGAAAGCTAACGGCTCAAGGTTAACACGTGTGTTGCCAACTTGCTCACCAAAACTTTTCTTTTCCTCTGTATCTTTACTTTTCGAAATGCCCTTGTACCTGACGGTCGATGGTAATCACCAAGTTTCATCAAGAGTTTAGAGTTGCATTTATATTTACAATTCAGTTTGAAGAAAGTGGATTGAAATTTACTGCTGTTTTCATACTAAAACAGTGTCGCATCTTATGTAAAACGCGAGCGAGCACGTAATTTAGCTTTTACTGTTGGCCAAACTGAAACCGTTTTAAAACTCCAACTTAAATTTTGCTTTTGGTGATTTCAGGAAGAAGCTGCTTAAAATCTTTCTAAAATTACTACATTTGGTTAAAATTCTTCAGTTTCTACTGGCGATCTTTTACATTGAAATAAATGAGGAATACTTACTTGATATTCTCTCTGGTATTCGTTCATGCGTGTGATCGGGTTTTTCATAGATTTGTACTTCAGCTGCTGAGACAGTGCATTGACAGGAAACCACGTTGAACCACAGATCATGGCTTCTTCTAGAGTTTCGTATATGAATTTGTAGTGCTCCTGCAAAAGTGACATTGGTAATTATTGTAAATACTTTAAATAATTAAAAAAAAAATTGCGAATACATGTAGAAATGCAATATTGTGGTATATGAGTTCATTCATTGCCTAGAAGAGCTATTACCGTGTTTACTTCCATAATAGTCGCATGTTTTTAGCCAATTTTTTATTGTGAAAGGCTAGGTGCGACTATTATGCGGGGAAATTAACTACACAATATTGTACACTTTTGACGACTTTTTCTGCTTCAAATCGGGGGTGCGACTATAACGCCAATAAATATGGTAGAAACGAAACGGCATTTCGCGTCAGTTCACTAAAAACAGAGTATTCCTTTTTAAATTGTTACCACCAAATATTATAGCCTTGTATCATATTTAAAGAAATTAAATAATGAAGAATGTGCATGAATGTATTTACTTTTTTTGTACTGTGAAAAAACGACGGTACCTGGAGCACCATCAAAATTTGAATAACGTAATCCTTCACCCGAACCCGGAGATATGGAAGACTAAATTGTAAAACATTACGTAACATGTAAAACTTTTGGATAACAAACTCAACGATTTCAAAGCTAGCAATGGCATCACGGTACGGAAAAAAATATCTCCAGCGCGGTCTATCGGAAATTCTAAAGATATGTTCTTTTTAAATTGTTGAATTGCATTTTATGTAGTTTAAGAGCGAAGAACATGATATGTAGTAAATAAAGGTAAGACACAATGCGCTAAAAAGCCATTTGGATGTAATATTATAAGATATTTCTCCCGCCTTCTTGGCATGCCTTCGTGGTGTGGTGGTCTGCACGCTGGTTGCGTTATCCAGAAGTCCGTGGTTCGATTCCCGGCGAAGGCGTTGCATATTTTTCGTCTTTCCTGCTTCCAAATAACCTAATGTCTCTACACTATAAAATCTGAAAGCTTTCAAATTATTTTTTTTTAATCTCTGAATTCCTTCAGATTCAGGGTGTTTCCTTTTTATATATTTTTTTTCTTATAAAATACTAGACACTGCGTCGTGAGACCTTTCATTAATGCCATTTCTCAAAACTCGAGCACGATTACGCATAACTCAATTGTTCATTGGTGCTAAGAATTTTCTAACAGGTAAGTTCTTTGTTTGTTGTTTTATTACTTATTTAATTATTATCAAATAACTCGTAATGCTGTAAATATAAATCACTTCTTCAATATTTAGTTGTAGCCCATCAAAGCCCTTTGCCTTCTTCAATGATTTAAGCTGCTCTACTGCGAATGTCGTGTTGATGGCACAGTCTCGGATGAAGGGAGTTTTTCGTCTCCGTCAATTACTTCATTTTATTAAATAAATTCGATAAAACGTTGTTTACTTGTATTGTATAATTTCATTGGGAAAGTGAGAACCCCCCCCCTCAAAAAAAAATTAGTTCCTTTTTAGACGACTAACCATAATATACTCTGTGGTTGGGTCGTGAACATTGTTTGGGTTTGGTTTGGTTTATTTGATTGTTTCAAAATACTCGAGGGTTATTTGCCTAAGGGGAGGGATGTCTTCGTGGAGGACTTTGTAAGGGAAACTGGCTCGTACACAAGTTACACACGGGTAAGACCACGGAAATGCCATGCAGCCCCCAGTTCTACAGTATTCCAATACGGAATGAACTACCAGTGTTCAGCGACTTTACCAATCGGCCGCTGGGGGGGCTTAGCATTGTTCGGGAAATGCTGATGTAGTCTACAAAAATAAACTTTGTAAAGTACCTCTACTGTAGCCTGGTCGGTCAAAATTGTTCATCACGAACAGTGAAATGTTCTTTTATACAATTGTTTCTCAATCTTTTTATTACACTGAATCCTTTTAAAAGAATGGCTTTCTCTATCGATGCCTTTGCATTTTCCTCTGTAACATACAGCATACAACATAATCAAAATACAAGTAACTATACGTAAATAACTTATGAGAATGTCAAAAAACATTGAGAAAAAAGTATATTATTGTTATTTTTAATGTTGCAAATCTAAACAAGTTTTCAGAAACAAAACCACAGATATTAATCTTTGGCATAAAACTGCTTAATGTAATTCTTAAATATCCTCCTTTAAAAGCATTTACTCCGTTTCTTGTTTTCCATAGTGAATTGTTGATGTTATTAAAGTTTACTTCTACCCGGTAAGAAGAGGGGTTTATCAATAATGCTGGTTCGTTAACAAATTTTATTTGGGGATATTTCTGTTGGATGACTTTAGAAAGTCCCACTTTGTTTGGTAGCATAAACTTACGAACTCTAAAAAGACTATAGAGGAATAATCCTCTTGTCTTAAACTGTAGACAGACAAAGACAGAAAAAGAGTGTAAATAACCCTTTTATTTTAACACAAAGAAACATCAATCACCCAACTTGGCTTTACACAAGCCAAAACTTCTGGCTTAACTTAAACAAGTAATGTTATACTAATATCAAATCTAGTTAAATGAGTCTAACGGCTTACAGGATAAACTAATGCGCAGAAAGGCTTTGGTTTGTATAAAACCGGTGGGACAAGCTTAATGGCTAGAGCACTTAAAGCCACAGAATCAGTTCACTATTTAGTCACGATAACAACGTGGCCTCAAGTAGTCAGAACACGCTTTAAAAACAACTTGCGAAACCTTCGCTTAGATACCACTTCTTTTTCCCTCAATCTGAGTAAATGTCCGCTATTTCATTTACATTTTCGCGAAAGCTACTTTAACACAAAATTAACTATGAGTCAAAAGTAAACAGATGAATCCTCACAATTGTATGAAATTTTCATCGACCCGCAAAGGGTCAATAGAGGTCACGTTGGAGTTTCTGATCTATATGATAGGCACTTATTGCTCTTTATGTTTATAATGTCTAGTGGTTATAACAAGGTCTAGTAAATACAGGGTGTTTCATAGATCATGGGACAAACTTGGAGGGGGGCGGAGCGTACTAAAACATGCATTTTTCATAGGAATGTGGGGTCTAAATTGACGGTTAAGGCAGGAACGCGAAAAAAAAAAAAAAAAAAAAAAAAAAAAAAAAAAAAAAAAGGACACGAGAGGAAAATGTGTTTATGTACAAAATCAACGCAAAGTGCTTCTTTGTAGCAATACAGTATTTACAATAAATGTTCAAAATTGCGACCACCAGCAGTAATACATGCTTGGTAACGTCGCAGAACGGATTGACGAACATTTTGAAAACAACAGGCATTTCGCGCCCGCTTGCAGCCGCAATGGATAATCGGGCAACGAGGTTCTCCAGTGAGTCAACGAGAGTCTCGTAAATGATGCTCTTCAGATGGCCCCATAAAAAGAATCCAAGCTGAATAAATCTGGCGAACGGGGGGCCATCGAATGGGTCCACTACAACCAGCCCATCGGCCCGGAAATGTCCCATCCAAGTAATTGCGGACCCGCACGTGGTTATGGGCTGGTGCACCATCATGCTGGAACCACCTGCGATCCCGAACGAGTGCCGGAGCATCCTGAAGCAATTCGTGTAGCACCTTTTGCAGAAAAATATGATAACATAAGCCATTTGTACGTGCAGGTATGGGCCTAAGAGGTAGTCGTTAACAATACTTGCCCACACATTCACGTAGAAGCGGGTGTTTGGAATACATGTGGACTTGTGCCGTGTGGATTATGAGTTGTCCACACATGCATGTTGTGGCTATTGAAGATGCCGGTTCTGTGAGAAAGTTGCCTCGTCCGTGAATAGCACATCCGATGGGAAATCCGCCTACGCCGCACACTGCTGCAAGAACGAATGACAGAGATGAACTCGATGAGGGTAATCTGTCTCTTGCAAGGTTTGGACTCTCTGCAAATGGTATGGGTGCAAACCATTTTCATGCAATACTCTCCAAACGGTGGAATGACTTGGAATAATCTCCAAACGGTGACTGCACGGCTGCAGACGACGTGCAATAGCTCTTGTACTTGTCTGAGGTGATTCATGCACAATGTTCAAGATGGATTCTTCAATGCGAGGTTTTCATGCACTTCTTCCACTCCTAGTGTCAGAGGTGGGTTCAAATGATTCGTTTTCACACAGAGAACCGATACAACCTCTCGAACGTGTGCTTCGGCATACGCCTGTTCGTAAACCGTTCCTGGTACAACCATAGCGCTGCTCTGTCGTTCCCATTAGTAGCACCATACATGAGATGCATGTTAGCTTTTTCCCTGTGCGCAAACTCACTCATCACGCTCGACATCGGAGTTGCGAATGATCCTCTGATGCATCGGATCGTGGTTTGTGCGGCTCACTACAGCTGCATTGCCAGCCCAATCACAGCTGTAGTTCCTATTACTGTTAGTGTTCCCTTTTTTGAACATTTATTGTGAATACTGCATTGCTGCAAAGAAGCACTTTGTGTTGTCCTCTTGTGTCGTTTTTTTGCGTTCTTGCCTTAACCCGTCACTTTAGACCCTACATTTCTATAAAAATAAATAAATAAATAAAATAAAATAAAATAAAAAAAATATGCATGTTTTAGTACGCTCCACTACCCCTCCAAGTTTGTCCCATGATCTATGAAACACCCTGTATATGATCCCTTCATCCAGGTATATGTCCTCGGATGAAAGCTTTCGATGCATAGAAGAATCGAGAACATATCATTATCAAATTTTGATGCGAGAAAGAAATACGTACCACCGTTTCAATCATGCCTCGTCTTGCCGCTCGCAATTTCTTTGCATATCCGAAAACATCGTATACAAAATCCTCTTCTGCGAGTCCAAGATTGGCTTCTATGCAGAGATATGTTCCCGTTCGGCCACAGCCGTCACTGAAAGAGGAAAAATCTCAGATTAAAAATCCTATAAAAACGTTTTTGAGAAATCCAACGAATTAAAACATTATTTGGTTGGTATTATTGTTAATACATTGTATGTCTCCCAGACGATGCAGTTCGTACAACGCCTAGGCATGCTGAGTATCAAATTATCGATCTGATCTTGGGGGATATTACACCACTCAAAAAGCAATGCTCTCCGAAGTTCCGGTAGACATGTAGGAGGAGGTTTACGGGCTGCAATTCGTCGGCCAAGCATGTCCCACACGTGCTCTACTGGATTCAAGTCCGGTGAGAATGCTGGCCAGTCCATATGGGTGATATCCTCCGATTGAAAGCATTCGCTTACGATGTTTGCACGGTGAGAACGGGCGTTGTCATCCATAATGGAGCTCTCCATATGAAGTCCGGCGAGAATCAGACTGCAAGCTAAACCTGGACTCGTCGGAAAAAATCACACAAGCCCATTGTTGCGGTGTCCACAATGAATACTCTCTACTCCAGGCTAACCGCAGGCGACAGTGAGTTGCAGTAAGTCGAACGCATCTGACAGGTCTACGAGCATATAGACCAATCTGCCCTAAGCGTCTGTAACGCGGTCTGCCTTGAAATTGTCGTACCAGTGGCTGAAGACAGCTGACGAGACAGGTCTGAGGATGTGCTCCGCCTGTTCTTTTGGCAGTAACTGCCAAATACCGGTCCTCATTCGGCGTTGTAACTCTGGGGCGACCTATGCTGTAACGTCTACTCACATTACCATCATCTTGGAATAGTTGCCACAGCCTGGAGATGACACTGTGGGCAATTATAAGTTCGTCTGATACTTCCTGTTGGGTACGCCCACATTCCAGACGACCGATAATTCTACCACGTAAAGAATCATCCAAATGCGTCCTTTGTGTCCTAACTATTCGGTTATTGCACTGAAATGCTTATAAAGCGCCTGCGAACAATTTTACTTCTTTGCCTATATTCCTTATATATCACTCTCTTACACTCTTGTCAGTGTGACGTACCATCGGTGTCATCTGGTTACTTCCTGAAATTTGCATATGATTCTTGAAGACGTGTGTAGTGATTTTACAGGTGATATATTTATTTTAACGTTCGATTTCCGCGTGACTCCGAATTATCCTTAATTTATGGACATGAGTGTAGATCAGTTTGTAAGGATCTTAAGTTTTAATAACGTTTATTTTTATTTTAAATCTTTACTATCACTTCTTATTTTCTACTTCCGGCCAGAATTAAAAGCTTTAACTTATTTATGCAAATTTGTCTGGCGAACGCCAAGTACTTAAGTTGTGGCTTTTTTCCAAGCGAGAGAGGAAAGAGTTAGTCGAAGCAGGCCGCTTACCTTAGCAGTCTTACTCGGTTGCTGGTTGCCTTCCAGGCCAGAGGTTTAATCCTCGTGATAATTTTAAACGTATTGTAGTGTTAACAGTTCTCTGTACTACATACGGCTTCCTGTTAATATACGGCCAATCTTCCAGGTAGGCCCTTTTTATTATTCCAAAGTTAAGTTAAAGTTTAGTTAAATATTTTTATATTCTTACGTTCAGACCACAAGTAGTTGGTCTCTGTATTCCGAAGTCCGGAAATTATTGTAAAGAGTGAAAAATAAAGGGTTTCGTATACCCTTCCTGTGTATCTTGTCTACTTCCCACATTTATTGAACATAGCTTTAGTAAGCTCCCTGTTCCGACTCAGGGTCTTTGCATGTTCCCAAAGAAAGTAAGAAGGAACATTGAACCTGATAGTGGCGCCCAACGAAGAAGAATAACCATGGCCGAGTTTCAAGAAGAACCTGTGCTGCCTGCAGAAGCGGCTCAGAATCCAGAAATGCCAGCTGCCGCCCTGGAAGAATTTGGTTACATCGTCCAGACCATGCGCGCTTCGATGAAACCAGAAGCAACATTTAATGGAAACTCACCGGTTACCAGTTTTTTGGAAAACCTAGATGACCACTTCATGCTTTACCCCGTGCACGAGTTTCAGAAAGTGACCTTAGCGACCAGCGCTTTGAGGGGCCAAGCGCTTAACTGGTTCAAATGTATAGGCAGAAGTCTCCTGGGTCAAGCAGGAAGTCCCACCTATACTTACGAAAATTTCAAGACTGCCCTAGTAGAAGCCTTCCCTGTCGTAAGGGATCGTGCGAAATTAGAAACGGAACTTTGCAGCATATATCAGCAAAGAATCGAAAATCTCTCAAGCTTTATTTTAAGAAAAATTCACGTCTTCAAACTCTTGTATGGAAACCGTCCGGATCCTGAGATAATTCAAGTGATTTTGCCGAGGTTACTGCCCCAAGTGCAAGACTTTATTGAATTAAGGAATCCGACTACACTGGAAAAGTTATTTGAGCTAGCAATCCAGTTTGAAAGTAGAAGAACGGCGGACATTGAAAGAAGACGCCAATATCAACAACGAAACCAATTTGGTGCGCCAAGACCACAGCAAAATCAAGCACACGGCTACGGAAGCAAAGCGAATCAGTGGGCAAGGAAACCCGAGCATTCAAAAAACATCCGGCGAACGTCGACAGTTCAATAGCAATCCAGGAAAGAAGTCTCAAGGCCAGTGGAAAAAGAAGGAAAGCATGGAAATGAAAAATTATTTAAACTAAAACGGATTTCTGCTGACGGGAGGGTGCGGAAATTCGAAGGCCACGAAAGTTCCTTCAAGTTAAATACAGTAATGGTGAAAAATTTGACTCTTCCGAAGATTGAAGTGTTGGTGAATAATATCCCAGCCACCGCACTCCTGGATACAGGCGCGCAGTGTTCCTGTGTGGCAGAATATTTTTTTAGGAAGTATTTTCGTAAATATCGCATATATAATTCGGATAATACGACAGTGTTAGCTGCGCAAGGAGAAAGATGTAAGTGCATAGGTAAATTACCGCTATACGTCCATATCAAGGACGAACAAGTAAAGGTTATGTTTTTTATAGTAAAGAATCTGCAAGCACATATTATCTTAGGAATAGATTTTCTTTCAGAGGCACAAGCAACGCTGGATTTTAATGAAGCGTCCCTTAAGCTGACGATGAACCAGTTCGAGAAGAAAAATCGGAGCCGCCGATGTTAAACCTTGACCACCTGCCTAATGAAGAGCAACAAAGAATCCGACAAGTGGTAAGTGAATTTGCTTCGTTATTTAGTGATATTCCAGGATTTACTCAAGTTACTAACCATAGTATTCACACCGGAGATTCAATGCCAGTTCTCCACAAAGCATACCGGTATGATAAGAATAAAGAAAAAATTATAGAATGGCACATCAGCGATATGCTACGTAAAAAGATCATAACGCCCATCTCAAGTAGTTATGCTAGCCCGGTGGTTTTTATGTAAGAAAAATAATGACTATCCATTAACACATCCAAAAGGTGGCGTTTCGCGATCGACTATCGTAAATTAAACTCCATAACTAAATATCCGGTATATCCGTTACCTATTATTGAAGAAATTCTAAGGAACATAACGTCGACCAAATATATGACGACTTAACGACTGGTTATTTTCAGATAGGGATTAGACCGGAGGACGTGCCTAAGACTGCTTTTATAACCAAGTCTGGCACTTATGCATTCCTGCGTATGCCGTTTGGCCTTTCAGGGGCACCGGCAACATTTCAGCGATGTATGGACATAGTGTTAAGGCCTGTTTTTGGAAAGTCTACATTTATCTATTTAGACGATATCATTATTACTAGTGATAATATGGACCAACATGTACAGGATTTAAGACAGGTGTTTTCTTTATTAAATGAGGCCGGTCTAAAAGTTAATGTCGAAAAGTGCAAATTTGCAGCCCCTGAATTAAAATATTTAGGTTACAAAATATCTCAGAAAGGAATCGAGACAGACGAATCAAAAATAATTGCTGTACAAAAGTATCCGACTCCAAACACGGCGAAGAAGCTCTCTTCTTTCTAGGACTTTGTTCATATTTATAGGTCCTTTATAAAAGATTTTGCAGCTATTGCTGAACCATTGTTAAAATTAAAAGGAAAAAGGCAAGATTGTCGTGGACGGCCGAAGCCAATAGTGCTTTCGAAAAATTAAAACAAGCATTAACGCAAGCCCCTGTTTTGAAATTTCCTGAAAAGGATGAGAATTAGAAATTTCAGCGGATGCTTCGGATTATGCGGTAGGAGCGGTACTTTCGCAAAATCAGCAGCCCGTGGCATTTTTTAGCCGAACTTTAAATCAAACACAAAGAAATTATTCCGCGACCGAGAGAGAGGCACTTGCAGTTCTGTTAGCAGTGCAAAAGTTCCGAGTCTATTTTGGAAAGGCGCCAATAACAGTGTATTCTGATCATGCGGCGGTAACTAGATTGTACTCAGGGAAAAACTTTTCCCCAATGTTAATAAGATGGGCACTCAAGCTACAAGAATATAATCTGGTAATCAAGCATACCCCCGGAAAGGAAAATATTGTAGCAGATGCCCTATCCAGAATTAAAATAGATGAAGAAGGTAATACGGTAAAGGTGGCAATGCTCACAGCATGTACAATATATTCCCGAGAAACTGTAATAACCGAACTGGGTAATGATCCTGAGTTTGGAAGCATTTATGAGTATTTAAAGGATCCTGAAAATTTTAGCCACCAAGATATTGTGGCGATAAGAAATAGGGCGGCCCATTACGAACTAATAGATGGTCTATTATTTTATACAAAAATTACAAATTCCAACAACGAATTTCGACTTGTTATCCCAGCTAGTCTTAGATTAAATATCCTGCAGGAGTTGCATGACAGCCCTTTAGCTTCTCATGCTGGTATTCGAAAAACTATCCAACGCGTACGCGAGGCAGTCTACTTTCCTGAACTGCAAAAGTTAACAAGGGCGTATGTCCAGTCCTGCCCAACATGTCAAGAAGTTAATTATATTAATTTCCGCCAGGCCGGGTTTCTAAATAGTATTAAATCCGAATTTCCAAATGAAATAATTGGCATCAATTTATTGGGCCCTTTCCCAAAA